ACACAAAAAATTTAGATATTGAATTAATTGAAAAAATTGAACAAATAAAAATTCGGATAAATAAAATGCGAAAATAAGAAATATTCTGCAATATTTTATGATTAGTATAAAAATGAATTAATTTTGCATGTCAAATTTATTATTGCTTATAAATTTCTTCTTTATGAATTTTAAATGTCATTTTAATGATATACATGTATAATAAAGAACCAAAATATGTTTATTAAAGATTTAAAATTTATTCATAAAAGATCCAAAATTCGTCCATTAGATCCATAATTAGTTTATATGAGATCCAAAATTCGTCCGTTAGATACATAATTTATCCATTTAAAATCCATAAATGACCAATAATGGACGACTTATGGACGTCCAGACCAGTTGCAAACGGACGTACAATGGACGTCCCTTGTACGTCCGCTGCAGGTAATCTGGACATCCGATGGATGTACACAATGTCCGGATCGGACATCCGTTGTACGTACATAGGATGTACTTGTGCTTATTGGGTTATCACTACGCCAATTAATCACTTATTTTGAGTATTTAAAATACTATAATATACAGTAATTTAAGTATTCGAAATAAAAGTGATTAATTACTCGAAATAAGTGATAAATTGGCGTTACTAGTAATAAATTTCTATAAGGGTTGAAATAAAGTATAAGAGATAAATAGGCTATATGTGAGCCGTATGCGAAATGTGAGATGTAAGACGCATATTGAAATTTAATTTTTCGATATAACTTTCAAAAATGTACACGAGGTACAAAAATTAGCTTGGACATTTGTAAGACTTAAAATTGGGATTAATTCTCAATTCTATTAATTAAATTTCGATATAACACACCTTACATCCGCGCACGGCTCACATATATAGCCCATTTATTAGTGCAATTTTTAAGTTCCTTATTTTTCAAAGTTCACCTTTTTACGTTATCAAATATTTTTACGTTTTCAAGAATTTTATATTTTTACTTACCGCAGTTTCTTATCCAAATGTAAAATCTTTTATCGCAGTCTATAAAAAATTGAAACAATTTACAATTTTATGATATAATATTATTATTATTACAATTTCTATATATATGCACATATCTGTCAAATATCGTGATTTATTTCACATTATTATTATCTATTTTAATAAAAAAAAAACAAAAACACTTGCAACAATCAAAAATAAACCGCCTGCCGCGAACGGAAAATGCCAAGAAAGCACGCAATTTCCGCGAATCTCGTAATTTTTTTGAAAAATCAACAATTTCAACGAAATTGTAAATTCTTCAAATCACTGCACAAGTATAATTCACAATAATAATTTGCAGTAACTACGATAAAAAATCGTATACTGAAAACCGCAAACGAAAGTGCAATGGGAGTAAGAGTAAAGTCTGTGATAAAATTAATTGGCAATAGAAAATTAATAATTTTCAAATAGAAAAATTTTGAAATTACCGAGGATTTACAAATAATAAAGTAAAAATATTAAATAATTTATGTTTTCGAATTTTGCTCGCGGAGAGGATCTTTAAAACAAGATTTTTAGAAGAGAGGACCTTTAAAATATAAACAGGCAAAAACGTTGGAAAAATTAAAGCGCGCGTTTAAACAAATAAACGCAATGAAATAAATACGCAATTGTTTTTACTTATCGCTGTAAGCTCACAAGCTTCTGACGTGCTATACACTTTTATATAATATATACAAGGTGTCCGGTAACTAACGGACCAATGATTAAGGGCGGATTCTCTGGCCAATTTGGAGACGATTTTTCCTTAGCAAAAATGTTGAGAAGTCAATAATTTTCGAGTTATAAGCGATTGAAAAAAATAGGTTTTTTGAAAACTAAACGTTTTGGAGTTAAAAGTCTAACATAATTACATTCTTCAGTTAATTTCAGGTAGAGTTTACTATAATAAAATTTTAATTTAAGGCTTAGTTATAAAGATACATAATGACAAAGATTGGAAAGTTGTAAAAAATGATGACCTTTTTCGACATTTTCGTTGAGGAAAAATCGTTCCCAAATTGACCAAAGAATCCATTTGTAATCATTGGTCTGTTAGTTACCGGACACCCTGTATATTGGACACGAGTTTCGTTTGTTTCAGATTCTCGAGAGTTGAAGTAGGAACATACGAGTATCATATATCGTTTGTGACTTGCCGAATGAAAGCAAGACAGAGAGCGAACGAGATGATGAGCTTAATAGCTCATAATGTTATAAATAAATAAATAGAAAATTATAACCTGACCTACTAGTTATTGAATCTTTTTTTAATAAAATATTTCATTATTATTATCATCTAAGTCTAAGTCGTTTAATTACTTTTTAGTTTTTTAATAATTAATTTAATTTATTCTAGTCATTTTTATATGAGAAAAATAATATCACGTATACGTTTTATAATGAATTAATATATTTCGGGAACCGAATTATATATTCTTAATAATATAAAAGTGTTCAAAAATTATATTTGACTTTTAATTTTAATTATTTTATAGCAAAGAGTTCCGAAATCTCTTACACACATAATGGGGATTTTTTTCATCCATATAATTCGCAATTAAGTATATATGTTAATTATTAATTTTAATAAAATAAAAATTAAAATTAAAGGTCAAATATAATTTTTAAACACAAATATATTAAATTAATTATAAAACGTATACCCATGATAGTATTTTTCTCGTACAAAAATAATTAGAGTAAATTAAATTAATCATAAAAGATTAAAAATTAATTAAGGGGTTATACCTACCTGCAAACTTCAAAAAAATCGATTTTTGGATTTTGATATTTTCTTAAAGTACATACTTTCAAAAATATTCCCTGCAAATTTCAAGTCGATTCGACAAAAATTAACGAAGTTATGTGAGTTTAAAGGTATACTGGTGTGAACGTATCCTGCTGTTTAGAAGCAGGGTACAGAAACGGGTCTCAGGTATCGAACGGCAGCTGCGACGCGGACAAAAGCGGTCTCTATACAAAGCCAAAATATATATAAATAAATAATATATATAAATATATATAAATATATATATAATATATTATTTGGTTGTGAACTTAATTTGAAACTTCAAATGCGTTTTTCTCAAAACAGCATTTTTAAAATCGGTGACCAAAATATCTCGAAAACCGCTGCATCGATTGAAATAAAATTTGGTAGACATCTTTAATACTAAAAAATCTAGTGCCCGATCGTGGCTTTTGTTTTTTCGTTGCGTATTTTTTTTAATAATAAAAAAACGAGCGAATTTTTGGTAGCAAAATCATACCTTCAAATTTGAACAGCCGCCATTTTGTCGCAAATTAATTTTTCAAAAAAATGAACGATCGGGCACTAGATAATCTTATATATTAACTAAATTTCTCGGGTTTTTTGATTTCTGGTAAACCAGTTCAAAGTTAGAGTGGTCACCGCAAAACGCTTTTCAAAAAACTGCTTCTGGAAGATTAAGCATATCTTTTTTATTTATCAACATTTTGCAATAAAAAAAATACTAAATAATCTTTGAAATATATATATTTGAAAACATAAATGTTCCTTTCCAAAGCACTTCAAATATTTAAAAAAAAAATTCCCAAAAATACGTGTTTTTCAGACCTTGCAGGTAGGTATAACCCCTTAAAGAATTTAAACTTATATTTTATATAATAATAATAAAACATTTTATTACGTCAAACCGTCGTGAAATAATTAAATAAAATTTGCTAGTTACGTCAAAGTCAAGTTTTCTAAGCTTATAAAACATTTTATTAAAAAACAGATTCAATAAATATAAGTACATGTTATATATATACTTATATTTATTGAATCTGTTTTTTTTATAAAATGTTTTATTATTATCATATATAATATAAATTATTTAATTATTTTTTAATTTTTTTATGAGTAATTTAATTTGTTCTAATTATTTTTGTACGAGAAAAATACTATCACGGGTATACGTTTTATAACGAATTAAATATATTTATGTTCAAAAATTATATTTGACCTTTAATTTTAATTTTGTATTTTATTAAAATTAATAATTAACATATATACTTAATTGCGAATTATATGGATGAACAAAATCCCTATTATGTGTGTAAGAGATTTCGGAACTCTTTGCTAAAATAATTAAAATTAAAAGTCAAATATAATTTTTGAACACTTTTATATTATTAAAAATATATAATTCGACTCTCGAAATATATTAATTCATTATAAAACGTATACGTATTAGTATTTTTCACATATTAAAATGATTAGAATAAATTAAATTAATTATTAAAAAACTAAAAATTAATTAAACGACTTAGACTTAGATGATAATAATAATGAAACATTTATTAAAAAATAATTATAATAGGTCAGGTTAATATTTTATTTATTTATTTATTTATAACATCATAAAATTCTGTCCTTTCCGAAATACGCGAACGCTACGAAAAGATAAATCTCGTACATGCCGCCGGACGAGTTCATGAGCATGAGACGCTCATCTTAGGAACGTATTAATAGTTACTGCATTGACCACTACCACGATATGGCGCTGAAATCAGTGAGAAATGCTGGTCTCTCCTTCATCCAGACCTTTGGCGATCTGTCTATTAATCTGTGCCCTTAATCTGTGTCAAAACAGACGGAACGGAACGCGCGGAAATGCGGGACTCTAGTAAAGTTTAGTTACTTTCTCTTCCGCGTTTCCGCGCGTCCATGTAATCGCACCCTGAGACAACCGCGGGATGTCTGCAAACGTGGAAGGGATAACATGGCTGCTGCCTGGTGACGTTCCGTTCTGGCCGTCTCGCGGTATCAGATGCTACGAAAAACATCTGGCGACAGTTTAGCTGGGTGCTGCCGATAGCGTTCCGCCGATAGAGGATATCGCGCGAGGTGAAACATCGTCCACGAAGACGCGCGCTGATTGCAACGATGATGAACATGTGGAAAGTGCGGGAGCTGATGGACAAGGCGTAAGTCGAGTGTCGAGGATGCGCGATTATAACCTTATTGCTTTTCGGTTCGGCTCCTCGTCGAGTCGCGAGTTTCTTTCGCTTATGTCTCTCGCCTCTCCTTAGGCGCGCAAACGTCAAATCGCGCACGTGTTTTTATTGTGAAAAATTTTAATTCGGAAAAAAAAAATGCGAATCCGCCGTCGATTCTTATCACGGGAAGGCAGACGGGAGTGTCAAGTTTGTCGATTACATCAATTCATGAGAGAGTGTGTAATCGCTTTCTTTTATGTCGTGGAAAAGAGAAGTGAGAGGGAGGAGAGGACTCGTAAAACTGGAACGGCGTGGATATTTTATGGCGCGACCTTGAAGTTCGATTGTATGCATGTATGTACAGTATATATGTGTGTATGTACGTGTGACGCGAGGTGATAAAACGATCTCTCGAAAACAATCGTGTATTAATGACAGGCGGCACGAGATTTCCCTCTCTTTGACGCGCGTATTTACTTAACTTGTCGACGCTCCCTCAAACGTTTCGAAATGTATATCTCTGTCCAAGTTTCCTGAAATCAATCTTTTTTTCGTGTCGTTTCAGCTTTGTATACACTTATAATCTCTTAAAATGTTCAATTAATATTAGAATTAAAATATCTACTCTCTATATTCTATATCATCCGAAAAAAGTTGGAATGTGTTAAAATTATATCTCTTCTGATCGAATTATATTAAATATCTCTCAACATTTATTTCATTAATAGGAAAGAGTTCAAAAATTTAATTCTCGCAAAATTGTTTAATAATTGCAACTTGTTTCAATTTGATTTGTCTCTCGTTTATCATATTATCTTTTATGATCTCGATGATTTGTCGAGAATGTCAAAAGACACATGTCGCGATCTCTTGTTCAATTATGTACATATAGTCTCCTGGATGTCTATTATATGCAGTAGAGAATCTCAATCGCACGATACGTGATTCCAATTTGTATTGTTCGCACGTGAATGCCCGTTTAGAATTACGAAGGTACTCTTTCACACACAGACACATACACACACATATACACATTCTTCGTATCGGTTTTATTAGCTTCCGCACTGTTTAAAGCCTGTTTAAAAGCCAGTTCGACATATGGTATTTAAATAAAATCATCACGAGTTCAATCATCGTATAATTAATTTGAATTTTGTTAGGATATTTTTTTTTATATAAATAAAATGTTCGCGTGCTTTAAATTTATCAAATTAAATGCATGTAAAATATAAAGCTTTTTATTTTTATCTGCAACATCCCTTATTGATGTATTAATAATAATAAATATATATTATATATAATATTATAATAAAGCAGAATCGATATTTTTTGCTCGAAGAAACATAAATCGAAAATATAAATGTATCTGAAAATTTAACATTAAATATAGTAGTTTCTTCTGTGACTATTAATAATAATTTTTTTAAACAACGTCGATTAAAAACGGTGTTAAAGAATTAATAATTTTAATAAATTAATGTCTTAATAAATTTATGAGTTAAAACGAGTGCGTTTGTAAATTAGTAATTCGATGCGTAATAATAAGTCACGTGAGATACACCGCAAACCTACTTAATGGCTTTAAGCTGTAATTATTTACGTAATTCACGGCTGTGTGCACTTTGTTGTCGCACGAATGTGATATTGTATAATAAGTATGCGCGAATGTGTTTGCAGGCATAAAAAATAAGATAAACAAAAACGTGAGGAAAGGCCATTATATATTGCTCTCTGTAGCATATATTCTTAATTATTTCTCCATATTTTAAATAATTTTTTATAAATATAATAATTCCTAATAAATATATATAATATTGATTATGAGAAGATTATAAGCAATTCTTTTTCATGCCAGGTGATTCAGCTAAAAGTTATCTGTGAACACAAAGTCTACAAACGATATACTCTTGTAATACTCTTGTACACGTAATGTTTATCAAGCTCTTTACGAAAATAATTACTGTTGATTAATTCGCATTACATGACAAGCAAATAGAAATAATTGTGCTCATAATTCTTCATTTATGATCGTACCTATATGCAACTCTTGCACATAAACACATTGTGCATGCAAAATACATTGTATAATAAAATGTTACATTTATAGGACCAACGTCGTAATGAATTACACGGAAACAGAGGCCAAAGTTCGGGAAGCGACCAATGATGATGCATGGGGTCCCACAGGTATCTATTTATTATCAGCGATCAAATTTATTTCTAGAAATTAACTTGAAAAATGCGTATTAATTAATTGTCTAATCGAATGTGTTACTTTAATATTTTAAGGGGCAATGATGCAAGAGCTAGCTCAAGCCACGTTCACGTACGAGCAATTTCCAGAAGTGATGTCCATGCTCTGGAAAAGAATGTTGCAAGAAAATAAACGAAATTGGCGACGAACGTACAAGGTATGATCGTTTTTCTCGCCACACAAGGTTTACGTATATGTGAGAAGTTATTACTATGTGCACAGCTTGCTTCTTAAATAATTTTTCTATTATATTGAAAATACCAAAAGAGAAGAAAAATATTGTTATATTATAAGTTAATCAATGAAATTCACAAATTTGTGAATAAAAATGTGCAAATTTTATTTCACATTTCTCATCGGTTTAACTCACTAATTTCCATTTATTTTCTCTTACAGTCATTGCTCCTTCTTAATTACTTAGTTCGTAATGGCTCGGAACGGGTCGTTACGTCGTCTCGTGAACACATCTATGATCTCAGATCCTTAGAAAATTACACCTGCATTGATGAGTTCGGAAAAGATCAAGGAATAAATATTAGACATAAAGTTAGAGAATTGATCGATTTTATCCAAGATGATGATAAACTTAGGGAAGAAAGGAAGAAAGCTAAGAAAAATAAAGATAAATACGTCGGCTTATCGAGCGAAGCGATGGGAATGAGATTCGGGGGTAGTGACAGATGGATGGATAATCCTAAATGGAACAAATCCAGTACAGAAACGTATAATGACTGGGACAATCGAGGAAAAGGATTTGAAGATACAAATAACAGGTATATCTAATAATTACATTTTCTTTGTTAATTATGTTTACTACGTCTTTATCTCTTATTAATATTTTAATATTTTTATAATTTTACATTTTTTATATATAATTTAATTTTGATACTCTAGATACCATATATGAATCGAATAAAGTATTTATTATTAATTTATTGATTATTTTTTTCACACTTTGTATCTTCTTCTATCATTTTATTAAACATTTTACTTTCGATATACAAGCGCTTGTTTAAAAGAAGCATGCTATAACTTGAATGAATTTTTCTCCTTACAACTGTATTTTTATATTATAGCGACGATGGCGAAAGAGAAGACTCGGACAATGATACTAGCCCAAAGAAAAGTGGAAGAGAATATAGGGATACATTGGACAATATCAATCAAATTGCTAAACCTGCTCAAATATCTATACCTTCTACAAATACATCTCCAGCACGGACAACGAGAACTATCAAGAAAGTAGATCTTGGAGCAGCAGCAAATTATGGAAAAGAGCAATCTAATGTAAGTTTACGAAACGTTAATTAAACTTTTTGACATCATAACTATTATTAATCGTCTTTTTCATCTACTCTTAAAGCTTGAAATATTGTATAATTTCATTTCAATTTTTTTGTACTTACAGAATAGTACACCAGTACAACAAAGTAATAATTTATCGTCGCCAACCAATAAACAGAAGACCAAAAACGATATATTAAATGATATTTTTGAATCACAGAGCGATAATAGCAAATTAGACGACGATGATTTCAATCCCAGGGCGAATACTCAGTCCTTTACTCAACCGCAGAATGCAAATTTAGATTTCGGTGATTTTACTAGTGCATTTAATAATCCCGCGACAACTAAAACGAAGGACAGCAACGACGAGTTTGCCGATTTCACGTCTGCCTTTAACAACGTCGCTATATCTAATCCCCCGAGTCAGCCGCAAACGCAAATCAATTTGATGGGTGTTCCAATACCAACTGTGACTAATACGAACGTCAGTAATGCAATGTATGCTAATACAATGCAAACAACAGGCACAATGACTGGAACCGGTGTCATCCAAAATCCTAAAATATCCAACGATTTATTTGATTCTTTACCGCAAAGTCTCAATAATCAGATAACAAATAACAATACAGGTAGGAATATACATTTGTTATAAATTACTTTAAAGTTTAAATTGACAGTTTATATATATATATATATATATATATATATATATATATAAAATATTGTATATATATTATTCTTTTTATATAGTGACTTCAAATACGGACCTCTTGTCAGATTTAGATAGCTTAAATACCTCATCTATGAGATTACCCGATGGTCAAATAAGCAGCCCTAACAATTCGAACATCTTTGTAGGAATGAACAACGCATCTTCCAACACCGTCAATTATGCAAGTGAGCATACAGAATTAAGAAACACTTATTTTGCTTCACGAGTTAACGATATTTTATAATTACGTATAATGCATACATAATGTAGGTTTCAAAATCCATTAAAACTATATTAGGTTTGTTAAATTATTCTAACATCACTAGCTTCTTCATTAGATGTCTTATTTAAGAACAAATATGTCTAAGAAATTTTAAATCGCTGTTGCATGTGTTTCTGTAAATGAAATTCTGTGTGTGAGGTATATATCCTCCTGAGTTTGATGCTAATATAATTCCCCCAAGATAGTCCTTTCCTTGCAGCCAAAAACGAAGAGAATATTACGTCGACTGAGAGTCTCTCGAATAATGCCGCCAAACAGTTATTGGAAGTATTATACACCATATGCAGTATTAAAAGTTCCATCGATTTGGAGAGAATAAGATCATCCATTTTGAACTACGTCAGATTTTTACCGGGGCTTGTTACCGCTCAAAAATATTGCGGTCTCGATTCCGATGCGAAACTGGACGCTATATTATATGGAAGAATCTTGGAAGAAATAATTGATAAATTCGATTGCGATTGGCCGCTGAAACATAAAGACGACTTGGATCCTTTGATTGAAAAATTGATAGTTGTCGATGGTTCGACAATTTTCATGCTGTCGGAATCTTTGAGGACTTTAACTGCAGCCTTAAACGAGACCAAGGACGAAAAGAAAATTCGTGTTATTTCTATATTACTGGAGAATCTATTGAAAAGCGACGCGATATTTTCGGGAATAGTGAACGCATGTAGATATGAGGTGCGATCTTACATGCAAGACGAGGAATTAGACCAGGCTTGGTCGAATACAACGCAAATTTTGGTCTCCCTGCCAAATCGCGTGTCTAACAAATTGCAGTTCGACACACCTAAGTCGTACATGCCGCAAGTTTACGTGAAAACGCTCTGTTTTCACATATCTCGCGCGATATCGTTTGTCAACGACGGATTATACGAATATAACATTGAGCCGAGAACAGTTGCGCTTTCATCCTTAATTAGTAAAATTGTAATTAGCTTAAAACCGGTTAATTTTATTTGCATCACCGATATTTTTAAGGAATGGTGTGTGGAAAATAAAAGGAACGAACGACGTTTGATTGAAAGCATATTTCGCGAATTAAATTCAGCCGCCATCGAATATATCGCGATATTATTCTTGAAGCATTGTGATCCTAAGCTCGGTATGCGTCCTATTTTTGGTAATCTTTTAATGGAACAGGATTGGAGATACGTTTTAACGACGAAAATCCCTTTAATGCGTTATTACGAAGACGAGAAGTTAATTGTGAACTTGATCTCCTACTTGTCATCCTTTTTGAACGATAATGATATTTTACTGGAATTACTTATTAAACTTTTGGAAGTGTGGAGCGACAGGAGTATCCTGAATCACGCATCTGTGGAACAACATGAATATATTACGAAACTGATTATTCTGTCTGTAAAAGCATGTAAAGATCACTTAAAGCAAACTGAAAGAGACCAGTGTCAGAAATTGTTACTTTCGGGAGTATCTGTTCATCTCGAATGTACAAATATATCTCTGAGAGCGATAGGTATGATGACCGCCGAGATTTGCATAAATGCTTTGTCTAACACAGATAATGATGCACCGAAATTAAAATTCGAGTACGACAATATGCCTATAAAAGTATTGGAGTTACTCGAGTCTCTGAAGAATCTAAATGTATCATCTGTAGACGTAAAAGAACGATCCGAACGAAGGGATCCGGACGAATTGATCACCGAGAATATAATCTTTGATTCTCTGTGTAGCAAGAAGATCTACGAATTGGGCGTCGAATGCAAAATCTTGCCCGATTTTGAGAAGAAGATACCGAACGGAAAAACAGAGGATAGTTTACCTTCGTTGAAACATGACAAATCGATAAAAAGTAATCCAACAAAAAAGAAGGAAGCGGAACAACAGGCAAAACAAGATCGCGAGAACACTTCGGACCTGGACAGCGACGATGATTTGGTTCCTTATGATATGAACGACGAGAAACCGTCCAATAAAGTACGTCCGATGTATCTGCGAGATGTACGCGACAATTTGACGGACGAACGAACCATTTCCGATCCCGAGGTCTTCTCCGAATCATTATCGATCTGCGAGGAACTGATATTAACGCAGCTACCGAATGACGATGTGTCCTTCGCTCTAGAACTCTTGCAGCTTCTCGTCACGTTGAGACAACATTGTTACGTCGAGAACTTTGAACTTGTGATCTTCAAATCTTGCGTAGCGATTGTGACCGTTTATCCGAAGGAATCCGCCGAATTTCTCTGCAAAGAGTTTTACGAAGTCGTCGGCAAATATTCTCTCAGCCACCGTTTATTATTTCTGGATATACTAGCCGAATCTGCGAAGCAGTTATCGAAAATCCATGTTGATAATGCGGATAACGTCGAAGTTGAGACGACGATTAAAAAGAAACGAATTCCGAGCCGCATATCGCTCTTTATAGACATGGAGGAACGGAAGAAGCAGCAAGTATGGTACGAAGAAGACATCGATATTGATCTAGAAGCGTCGGAAGAACAATCTACAAACTGGCAGGAAATCGTCGACAAGAGAATCGCATCGAATACGAGACGATTCGCTCACAGCAGTCTCTCAAAGGCTTCCAAGATATACATTAATCACTTCGGCAACGTGGTATCATCATTTTTCTATCCACTTCTACACGGCTTTGGTCGTTACGGTACTTACAAGGTGCAAATCTTGAGGATTTATACTGATCAAGAGAACATATTACTGCTACGTTTTCTGAAGACGTTGTCGACCATAATGTTAGCAGCGCAGAATTGTCCATCGGCACCAAAGATGGGCAAGGAAATATTGGAACTTACTTGGACACTGAGAAATCACGAGGAAGCGACAGTGAGATTGGTTGTTACAGAAAATATCGGATCTGTGCTTATCGCGGTTCCAAAAGATGCTATTATGGAGGAATTATTTGAACCCCTAATGGAAATAAGAGAATGGCTTGCATTGTCGCAGAATATTGTCTACGGTGAACACGATGCAAAGTGTAGAGCTTTAAATGCAAAAGTGTTGTCCTTTATAGACTCGATTATTGGATCCACTTTGAAAACTAGAATAGATTAATAAATAGAATAGTAATCAATTATTACAATATTGTGTCAGAAAGAATCCTCTATCGTTTTATTCAATATTATACTTATAGTAATTATTAATTATAAATTATTTAGGTATATGTATGTATGTGTGTATAATATATATATATATACATATACATATATTTTAAGAATGTATTTTTTTAGAATTAATTCTATTACTTAAATTGTAAAAAATTGATAATTTAAAATAATTTTTCAATAAAATAATCTAAATCATATAATACACACATAAATCATTAATAATAATAAAACTTAATTCCGTAAGATTTTAAAATATTCAATGTATTTATGTTTTATGTAATATAAAATATATCTTTTTTATATATAATGCGATTATATCGTTATTTTCATTTATATTCATCTATTAACATATATTCATTAAGCCGAATGAAACTTTGCAATATTTTAATATTATATAATATGTAAATTGTAATAGATGAATAAAATAAATTCTTTTTTATTCATATAATTTTTCATTGAAACATATTTTTATTCACAAACACGACACGTTAACAATCGTAATACGTATGTTATGAACTAAGATTAGTGTCGTGTTTAGGAACGATCGGACTGTCACCTGTTACAAATCTTCTTTCACCTACATCTACGAACATCAAAAGTCAAACATCTAACAATATGACATCATCTACGCAAATTGGCTCGACTTGGGCTGGTTCAGGATTAAATATTGACCTCGATAACATAATGGGTGGTAAAGCGAAACAAACTGGTCCAGCGCCGACTATGAACCAATTGGCGAGCAATAGTCCACAGCATCAGATTAAAACATGTGAGTAGTTCCTTAACTGTCTGTTGCGGAAGGTTTACTACTTTTCTCTCGAGTATTGTTTTAACTTTAACTTATTGTCTTCTGATTGAAAAATATTGAACTGTAGTATGATGTTTCTAGATAAAACTTGATTTTGTTAATCACTTGAATAATTGCACATAGCTAATTAACCACTCTAATTTAAATGTCATCTCACTGATCTGATATGTGAAAATGTACGAATAGTTAAGAATAAAGTGTATACTCGTAGCACCAGGAATGGAATATGTGTCACCGATGCAACCTCTGTCACAGAATCAACAGCAACAGCAGGCCAATGCAACGTTCTTTCCTGCATTCCAATAAAGGATTATCAATATAAAATAAAGTCTCAATAGCACAATATATGTGTGTACAAAGATAACAGTTCTTAATCAGCCAAAATTTTGTTTTGTTGAACTATTTATTCAAATGGAATTGAGTGAGAAGATAAAGAAAAACTTCAAATTTTACTTGATAATTCTCCCTTATAGAAAATTCAGTGGTAGACAATTATACATGTATCGAAATGTATTTTCTATTATCGCTTATAGAATTCTAAGTGCAAAGATGATTAGGGAACATGTTCTACTCGTATTCAAGAGATAACTTCTCGATACAAAGGGATGTAAATTAGAGAATTATGTTGGTATTTTATAATTCTGATTTGTATAAAATAATTCAATAATGATATTGAATGAAACAGGTTCTTCAAAATTGGAACTTGTATAAAAACGATATATATATATAGACGGTAGAAAGAAAAAACCACATAAATACAAATAATATACAATAATAATGAATAATATATAAAGATATTGATCGTTGTTCTTAATTATTATAAGGCAGCCTGATGCATATAGTTTGAGCTAATAATTACGCATTAAAATGCAAATGGGACGACAAGCAGCATTCCTGAATTTATAAATACATATAATTTCAATAATATGCGTCGTTATTGCTTGTAAATTGCGCGGGAACAAATTTGGCAGGATTTATCACGATGTGTATTTTATACATAATGTATATTAATCTCTCTCTTTTTTGGAGGAATCGGGATTATGCCTTATTATATAGACATATGTATTATAAAAGTATATATACATACTCGAAGAAGAGCATAATCTGATTAGTCGCATTTCACTTATCATCACGTGTACATTGCTGGAACATGGACACGATAGATGAAAGTGTTGATGCCTTTATAATACTAAAACTACGAAAAACGCAATTCCGGTAGTCTTTAAAAGACGTGTATGTAAAATGACATTCTGGCAGCTGACATAGGAATTGGACGAAGAGAAAGAAATCCTTAGTGGATATTATTAATAAGTGCTTCCCTCTTTGTTACTATGGCAGGAGAAACTACAATTATTATCGAAATGCTCTTTCTCGTAAAAAGGGTTGTAGATAGAAGAATCGATATTTTTAGCATTTATTTTATAATAAAATTTTTTGAATCTATGCACAAAATTGGCGTGAGAAAACTTTCGTGCTCGATTCAACATCAATATTGTATATGTGATCCATTGTAAATTGTTTTAAGGAGATTCGCTAATTGCGTAAATTAAAAAAAATACTTATTATGTATTACATGATATTACACGATTATTGTAAATCGAGCAACAACAACGCATCATTATTTAGCATTTGATTATATTACTTACTAACAATGAAATGCATATCCTTCGACATAAATGTTTATGGAATTATCACATCGTAATTAATTGTAAGCAGTAATCAATGCCACATTATTGTGTTATACACGTAATCACGCGTTCACATCACAACTGTTCTTTTTAGATTAGTTTATCTTTGCTACATGATATTGAAATACTTTACTTGTTGCAGAAATTATGATGATAATATGATAAAAATTTTAATTGAATCATTATTTATTGTACATATATATTGAAAAAGAAAGATATCTCAATATATTTATACAAAAAAAGACAAGTTAAAATTATTTCAAGCTCAGTGGCAAAGTTGAGTATTATATATACATATGTCTCTTACAAAATTACATAGTATTAGTGTATCATGAAATTAGATCCCATAAAAGCAATTAATTGAAAGAAGCCATTCTGTACAATTACCAAGAAAAAGTACCATGTCAAATAGTTATTCAATCGTTTAGTTTTGCTCTGTAAAGTTAGCTCAAAGAAACCACATTCTCTAAATAGAGAGAAGAGCTTTCGTGCGAGTATCAGAGACTGAAACTATGTAAAGGCGATTGGTCCTTTACATTTTCCATTATTTGAGCATTTTATATGAGGCGAGATGTTTAACACATAGGCAGGGATATATTTTTCAAATGTGAAAATATAAGTATTGTATAAATATATAAAAAGAGAAAAGTCGTTTTAGTCAATTCAATGCAAGATAGAGGATCATCAGCCGATTATTAATACAACAAAGTGTTATACAAGGGTACGTGTACAGTTTAGTGTTATAAATCCCTTTGTAAAACTCGAAGTTATATAACATAATTCGCGCGACATCGCACCTGTTAAAATTAATTTTCTTTTAACTGATGAATTTTTCAATATTTTGTGCAATGCAATTATTATTCCTTATAATCTTATTTACGCGCGATAATATTGCTTATGTTTGATTAATTGCATGTGGATACTATTATAAATTGTCATTAGATTCTTATTTTATATGATTATGTTACGAATTAGATTATTTAAAAAGATTAATAAAAGAACTTGGGAAAATATTAAAATTGGATAATTTTGCTATAAAAAAATCTCTGTAATATATCTGCGTATTTTTATCAACAAACTCTTATTATGTAAATATTGGAAACTATGTTTTATACTGATACATATCAATATTAATCGCGCGTATAAAATATATATATACCTAATCTGATGTATATTTCAAATGAAATTTATATTTGGTCAATGAGCATTTATTAATCCTCCAATGTGAATTATAGCAAAGTACATTGCTTATAGTATTTATATGCGGTCGGATATTTAAATAGCTCAGTTGTTAATTTTTGAGACTCTGAAACTTGGCTAGACCTAATAATCTTATTGTAATTATTGTTTAGAGATATTTATATCTACTTTATATATATACAGACTTATCGTTATTAAATGGTAATTGGTGCTGGTGTTAACATTGAATATTAATGATAATCATTTATTTTTATTATTATAATTGCCTCTTCCTATTTTTCCCCTTATCTGTTCCCATAAAAAAACGAGTCGGGACTCGTAAAATTTATCTATTTATTTGATTTACTTATTTTTGTCCCTTAGCTTTTGTCATTTTATTATTCTGATATGCAATTTGTCAGTTATCTATTTTTATTAGTATATTTTATGACTCTAATAATTAAATTTAAAACCGTGTCATATTGTATATATATATTCTCACATATCTAAGTATAATCTTTGCCTCAATATAAAAAATATGTATAAATGCTCTCTCTCAATATAAAACATAATATATCTTTAAAAATTGTTTATTAACAAAATACATTTTCGTACAGTCTATAAGATAAAGAGACAGCAAATATTTATAGTGCATGAATCTATGGACAGTACACAATTAATGCTAAATAATAAACACATAAGTAATTTTGTTAAGCTTCTATTTCCTCCTTGCAGCCACATATGGATTCATGACACTAGAAGCAAAAAATCATGTAAATCTTTTTGTTGTAAAATGTGTCAGAATAAACTTTTATTATAGTGAGGAAACAGGATTTTAACAAAATTGTTATTAAACATTAGTAAATTCTGTATTCTCTACATTTTCTCATTAATATTATGAAAATTATTTATTAATATTTGTAAGTCTGCAAAGACTACAGAATTTGCCAATGCTAAACATTATCAAAGATTAAATGAGGCATATAAAAAGAAATTATTTTTTCTTATGTATATTTCCTGAGAAAAAAATTCACACATTTTCTCGTTTGATAATACAATGTCAACAAAAATCAGGAATCTCTCAGTAAAAAATTTGTTTTATATAGAAAACTTATTAATTCTCTCTCTATAAAGCAAAAATTTATAGGAATATTTTCAAAGTTATAAAAACATATTTTTACCTTATATTAATTTTAAATCGTATATATGTATACATGTATAATATATATGTATACATGATAAATTCTATTCGTTAACAACGTGTTTGGATTTCTTCTTCTTTTTTTGTAACGACATATCCACTTCTGCTTCGCCGTTTTCAATATGTCCATTTTCTTGGCCATTTTCGAGTACTTCACTTACTTCACTTTTCCTTTTTTTATTTTTCTTTTTTTCTTTCTTCTCTTTTTCCATAGCAGCCAACATATGTGCAGTTTCTTCCAATGCTTCTCTCATCACGTCTAAATTTTTCTTTGGCTCTTTGCCAGTCGTAAAATACACTAATCTGTCTTCCACCTGTTGTCGTAATTTCTCACCAAATATTTTCATTGGTGTTTCCGTGAAACAATCGATTCTAGAAGCAATGGAACATTTATTCGCCAGATATCTTGCGATTCGACCTCTATTTTTGGTACCAGCACGGCCGATAAATGTAGAATGGAACAAAAGTCCGTATTTCGGAGTATTTACGTTACGGTTTTTTAATGCTCTGAATAAAGCCTTTTCTGCTCCCAATATCTGAACCGTAGACGCTGGAGCCTTTGCTAAATTAGTAAGTGATCCGGCGTGTGCTATTAATCTGGCGCCGACTTGATCTCCGATTAAAGTAGCTAGATTTGGTGCCACTCCTGCCATTTTCGATGTTAAGTATTCAGACATTTTTTTTCTATAATTTACTAATGCGACAACACGTTTAACAAACTGTTCAACATTTTTTAAATCGATTTCATTTATATCCATTCCCATGGATGATTTGGCTGCCTTGATGATGGCTTTTGCTTTTTCAGTATCCATAACAACTTCTTCTATCGCACCCAACTTGTCATCCGTCAATTCCTTCCTGTTTTGTATCACTCGAGCTACCTTTGCATACATATGATTCTCTGGAACAATCTTTGCAAGTTCTGGGAAATGATAGCTGTACCATTCACTAGAATTAAAACAAAAATGCAAATTATTTTTGGTATACTTTTGTGTTTGCTTATATTTGTAATATATTTACAATTAAAAATATTATACATACCGTATACGCATGCTGAAAGTATTAATATCTTTGTCCAATTGATCCAGCAAAGTTATGCTCTGTATGATCATGTTATCTACTCGATTTACATTGAATTTAACTTTAGCTCTTGAGTAACTATGTCCAAGACCTAATTGCGCAACTCTTGAGCTGTCAAAAGTGAAGCCTTTCACCAAATTATGAAAATGAAATCTTATTCCTCTAATAATCTCGGGAACAGCATTGAGGTGGTCACATTTTATATTTAGAGTTTCAGTTATGTTAGCACCGAGTTTAGAGTCTGCAACACCAAGAATAGTATCCTTGGTGAACTCGCTGGAGCAAGAATCTAAAAAGAGCTTCAAATCCTCTGTGACAATTCCTTCCGAAATACTGTTAATGTTTTCAAGAGCGACCACAGCTGTTCTGAAAGGCGCAAATCCAACAAGACTAACAACACTACGGAAACGTGATAGATCTGTTACTGACTGTTCCACTTGAGGTAACAACATTCCGATCTCTTCAAATTCCTTAACCCGAAATAGGGCATAGCCGGCGGCATGTTCAAACAAAATAAAGAGCCTCGCCTGAAAAGATTTTTCCTTAGTATTTTATATAATTTTTCTCTTTTTCTGTATATCATCTTCATTATGTCATAATTCTATTATTTTTTTTTTTAATTATATATTATAGTAAATTGTTAATTATCTTTTTCAGAGAATCAATAAATATGTTTATAAAATAAATAATATACACGTGCACTATGAAATTTGTCCATAACCTTTCAATTAAAGAGGTTAGGATTAAAATTTCGTAAATAACAATCATCTGTAATGATTAAATCTCAAAATACTACTCGAATTTACAATATCGCAAATATTACATTCTGAATTCGAAGACCGCGAATGTACGCGTAATTTATATGATATCCGCATAAAACTGAACGAGTTGCCACATGCTTGTGTCGACACGTTCTAATCACAACGCAAAGTTAAAGAAATATAGAAATTACAATTGAAAATTAATCGTCAAATTATTATATAACGTTGAAAGTTGTCACTTACCATTTTTAAATAATTTTAACTTCGTATTTCAAAAGAATTCTAAGTTTCTAGCAAAACTTATGAAGCTTTCACACAAAAACACGTACCACCATGTGGAACTTGTGGAAGGATCCTCCCGGATGCAGATTAAGCTGGATTTTCATGTGGCGCTTTGACGATGAATTTCAGCGTCAAAAGACGTCACGTGACCTGGGTACTTATTAAGGTGCCTACTGATGGACGCGGCAAGTTGCCGCGCGCGGCAGTTCAGAAAGAACTAGATCTAGGGGCTTCTGAATCACTCCTGCGTTGCCGCAAGTGAAGTTGGAATAATCCAACTTCACTTGCGGCAACGCGGGAGTGGTTATTTGTGCACATTTCAAAATAAAATTGAAACGATGGCAGGAGTAAATGTGGAGATTCCAAAGGTTAGTGTATGTTATTATATCCAAATATAATATAAGTTTAATATAAAAAAATATTAAGAAAGCAATCGCGAAGGTAATATATATGATTGTGCATAATTCAAGATTGGAGGTTAAGTGTATGTTTTGGTCGTTTCGGAAGAGAAAAACGTACCGTAACATGTGCGTACGAATCTATTTCAATTCTTATAAACATTTATGACTTGGAACCGAACTTTAGAATGACACATCGGGTGATATAATTGATTTTTTTTTTATGGCAGAAAGTATACACATGCGGATTATGCGAAATAATTCTTGGGGACCTTGAGGATGAAGAAACATGGTCCCATGAATGTTTTGCAAATTATTCAGAGATTGTTTTTGATGTGAATAGCTTGTATTTATATCCCAAATGTGGTAAGTAAAATATAAAAGGTGAAAGTGACCGATATAATACTATTTGAGCGAATGTAAAAATTTAAATATCTTGTAGAAGATGGAAGCATTGTGCGCCGAAGTGCGATTAATGGAGCAGAGCAGATTGTAATAGAATCGCCTCTTCCGACACAAGAGCCGTGCCCAGTGGAAAACCTGGAAGAACTTATCATTACAGAAGTGTCGGCACGAGAACTGTTATGGAATCAAAAACTGAGTATAACAAAACGTGACAGGCAAACTGTACAACAACTTTGGAAGCAAGTGGCTAATGCGACGAATGGTACGTATATATATTTGTGTGTGTATGTGAGAGAGAGAGAGAGAGAGAGAGAGAGAAAGAGAGTAGTTAAAGAAAACTCAATAGAATTAAAGTGATATAACAGTACGATTTTATTATTACAGGCGAATGTTCTGTCGATGAGGTAAAAAAAAAATGGAAGAACTTAAGGGATCGTTACATGAAAATAATCTCTCTTGAAAAGTTGCCAAGTGGATCAGGAAGTAAACCATCTCGCAGAAAGTGGCAACATTACGAATTGTTGTCTTTCTTACGTGACACTTCTTTGGAAAAAGAGTTAGTATTTCACAAAAGCATTCACTGCAATACTAAAAACAGTTAATATTGATATTATTTCATTTTATTGTATTTCAGGACAGTTTCAAATATGATGAGTCGTGAGGAAGACACTAGCAATGATGACACGGAAATCCAAAGTGTGGACGTCGTAGAAGTCAACGGTGCGATTGATGCATCAAAAAGTATTTCGTTCATAAGCTGTACGGGCAAGTAAATAAATTTAAAAACAGAAAGAGAATAATAAGAAGAATATGCAATAATAAAATAAAACTTTTGCAGAGTCTACAATGTAGTCGTTATGACAATACGACGCTGCAACGGACCAATCAGAGAAAAAAAATCATATATTCTCTTCTTTGATTGATCCGTCACAGCGTCGTAACATTGTAACGACTGCATCGTAGACCCCGCATTATATTCAAAATTCCACATTAATTATCAACCGACACACATATATATATATTGTAGGAAAATTGTACAAATTGAATATCTCACTTGTTAGTACTATTACAGCTAGCTACATCAATTTTGTCCAATAATACAAAATGTATTATTATGTAAAAGTCATTCTTTCATTTTCAGGAATGAAAAGAAAACGAAAAAGTACTGAGCGCGAAGAAGACTTGATGAAGCAGATAGCAGAGGCCTTGCAGACTCCACGACCACCTTTGCCAACTCCTCCTGTTCTTGACGAAGTTGACAATTTTACTTCGATGATTGCCTGCCAGCTACGAGAGTTGTCATCAGTCCGCAGACGCGCAATAATGTTGAAAATTCACGAGCTCTTACGTGCTGAATTATTGCGTAACGACAATTCGGCAACAACAATAATATAACGTAAAATATAATAATATGAATAATATATGTATACGTATAGTAATAAAACGAGACTGATTTTGTTAGTGCAATAAAGCCGAAGCGTATTTATTCAAATAGTTATTACTCAACTGGACCGGGATACCAAGAAACATTAAAGTTATGATTATCTGGGAAAGTAGGAAAAAGAAGTTTTAAAGAATTAGTTTGCATGATTAAAAGGTGTGATTTATTTCCTTTGCATGTGTAGTATACAAATAATGATTATATCTGTGATGTCTAGTATAATATTATAAATAAAACGAAATAATATGCTAATGTATCATTTATCATTTTGCCATGCTACTGAGCCTTCATTATTAAAATATTTACAAAATTCATCTCTAATGAGCATGGCACCCCGAGTACTTGTATTTGTACTACATTTGGAGATGTCCACAAATGCACAACCATCTTCCATAATCGTCCTCCACGAACCTCGTATGTGATCACCCACAGCCGTTTCTTTATCCAACATACCTGGTGGAATATAATTGTTCTTCTCGATATCACTCTTGCGGAGCCAGTTATGAATGCAGATTGTACCTTGTACGATCTTCATAGCAGTTTCCACACTACTAATGATCGGTTTTCGATAAACTCGCCATTGGCTAGCAAGTATTCCGAAACAATTCTCTATCACTCGTCTGGCTCTACTGAGTCTATAATTGAAGATGTGCTGTTCGGCGGACAAGTTATTTTTGCCAGAGTATGGCCTTAGCAAATATGATTTCAATGGAAAGGCTTCATCCCCGACAATGCAGTAAGGCAAAGACGGGCCTCCTTTGTAAAAACTGTCCGATTTTGGGATATTCATTTGACCTGCATTAAGTTGTTGACCGAATCGGCTTTCACGAAAAATGCCTCCATCACTTCGCCTGCCATACGCACCAATATCGACGAACCGGAAAATATAATTGGCATCACAAATAGCTAATAGCACAATGCTATGACTGTTTTTATAGTTGTAGAAATTGGAGCCAGCATTATCCGGACACTGAAATTACACAAAGATTATTATATATTTTTCACATACTGCAAGAAAATTGGAGTCTGCTCGTATTGTTTTTTCTATTTATTTCCCGATAGTTTTTAATATTTGAATAATGCCTGAAAAGAATTATAATACAAGTATTACTTACTTGAATGGTTACATGCTTTCCATCGATTGCTCCAATGCAATGTGGAAAGTCCCATATATCTTCAAAATCTTCTGCGATGCTCCGCCAGTCATCTTCGAATAACTGAGGTGGAAGAACCAAAGGACACAAATGTTCCCAAATAATCTTGCATGTTGTAGCAATAATATTGCTTACAGTCGTCAAGCCTACTAAATATTGATATGTCATTGAAGACATGGAATCACCAGCTGCCAGAAATCTGAAACGTAATGCAAATTGATGTAATGCAACATTTACATTCATATAACTAAAATAAAAACAAAAGATGTTTACCGTAATGTCAACGTCAATCGTTCTGCTGCACTTATCGGCTCTCGCACGACGTATTGTTTCTCTAGATGCGGGCCTACAATGGCTAACAACTCTTCGTATTGCGTGGTTGACATCCGAAAATAATTATGGAACCGCAGATCTTCCAATTTAAGTGTTGGCAGCAAGGCATGGTAAAAACCATGCTCACAGCGTTTTTTAAAAATTGGAGCAACCCAGAAACGCTTCTTTTTGTTGATCCGTCTGTTTTTTGCAGCTAATAACATAGCTAATGATCCGAGCAACTTGTCACGTCGGTCTGCTTCTACATTCTGTTCCTGACTGCACTGCATTGACCACTCATAAATTTTCATTTTTGCAGACATGATATATTGATTATTTAAACTGATAACTGAGATACTGAGGAATTGAGGTTATATTGTTTCGCGACAAACGCGATGACGCCGAATTCGCGCGGCAGACGCGGCAAGCGGCATCAGTTTCAGAAGCCCCTAGATCTAGTTCTTTCTGAACTGCCGCGCGCGGCAACTTGCCGCGTCCATCAGTAGGCACCTTATTTTTGACCACGTGACGTCTTTATATACAATGACACTGTTTTAAATTTAATTATTATTTATTAATATTTGTAAGTCTGCAAAGACTATAGAATTTGTCAATGCTAAACATTATCAAAGATTATATGTGAGTGAAAATATTTTAATAACACATAACATATTTATAAATTAGAGAAAAAATCATGCGCGAATGAGCAGTGATTTGTATTGATATAGTCGAAAAAAAGATTTGTCATTTGAATTTGTGAAATTATTTATATTTATTCATAAAATATATAGATTTTTTCATTGAATATTAAATCCTAAATACATTAAATCGAATGGATTCGAATCGTTTGTCTTGTCCAATCGAGCAATTGTGATTCGCAAACAGAGTGAAACTGCATGCGAAACGTCAAGTTGGCAACTCGAACAAATCGCTTGTCTCGCCAGTTTCCGACCGTGCGCCACCACATTCATTGTATTGTATCGCATATGCGTATGTTCGGTTCAGTGGTGTTAGGTGCGAGGATATACGCGTTGTTTATACATATATATACGTCCCGCGGTTTTTGACATTACGCGCTTTCCCGCGAAATCCACCTGTCAAGTCGCAGCTGTCAAATTTCGCGGAACGATGGAGAATCGCCGAGCGTCGACGACGTCGCTGAGGTTTGCAGCTTGACGTCGGCGAGTTCCCGGTTGCGATTGTATTGTGAGTGAGTGCGTGTGCGTGAGTGCGCGTGCGCGCGCGTTGATTGGCGGCGAACCGTGCACGAGACAGACACACGAGCGTGCTTGCTGTGTCTGCCGAATATATTTCGCGCGTGCTACTTCTTGTTCTTGGCGCGCGTCTCTCGTTCGCAGTCGTCATTCGTTCGTTCGTATCTTGTTCTCGATCGGATTTCTTCCCGTTCTACCTCGTAATCTTGCGGGAGCTCCATAATCGGCTTCCTCGTCGTGAGAGAGAGAGTTCCTCGAGCAGCAATGCCGCTGCTACGCAAACAGCCGTTCCAACGGCTCTACGTCTCATCGGATTTCAGGGACGACGACGAGGTCTATCATTGCGAGGTTACGAACGAGATATTCAAGAACTATAAGTAAGTTTTACGACCGCCGAACCAGAAGTTTTCCCCGTGGATTCCTTCAGCTCGTAACGGTTGTTGTGGAATTGCTATCCGCATCCGGATACGAAGATTTTTGCCCTTATATACGATATAATGTATTGTTGCGAGAGACAAAACTTTCCTCTTGCTCATTTTGGCACATAAAAATTGTGTATGCGCGTCAATTACTCGGAATTAACTTTGCTACACATAAAATTGAATAATAATAGATTATATGTTGACATTAATTAAAGTCTGTTAATGTATCCTCGAAAATAAATTCGCCAATTTTATTCGGAAATCGAAATCGAAATCAAAATTATATCTCTCATTTTGTTTCTTTGAAGACAATGCGATAATGCTTTAATATTATCTTGTTCTGAAGTATCTCATATATACATATTTATAACCATCAAATAAAAATTTATAATAGCCAAATTTATAGATGATCTTATCAGAAAATGATTCTTTTCTTTGTTATAAATACTTTAATTTATAATTTTTTTACTTCAAAAATCATTAAAGTCATCTGTTGCATTTAAAAATAAAAGTAACTTTTATTATGCATGTTAATAAATTTAATTCAATAATTAAAAGTTTTTTATCAAGTATATTAGTGAAAATATACATATGATAACTACATTTTTTATTTAATTAAAAAAAATTATATATAAGATTCTTGTATATGTATGTAGTAATGTATAATTATTTCTATTACAGTGAATTTTGTGAACGAATTATCTTATGCAATTCCCTTATCTGGTCGTGCAGTATCACAGGCAGAACTGGCATGACATTTGAAGAAGCTTTACAATGCGAAGAAAATGCAAAGAAGAGCTTGAAAGAATTTCCAATGGAGGTATAAATATTGTAATTTTGTATAAATAATGTTTCTCTGTGTTGAATTTGCATTAATGAATATATTTTTAACTCATTGTATTTTTCAGTTACGAATCCCTATACTATACCTTGCCAGTAAAACAAATAGATCCTCTTTTAATGAAATGGTTGAAGATGTTTTCCAATTTGCGAGAGATCGTTATTTTGTGGGAGAAATGGTAGAGGCTAGTTTTACTGAAGACTCTTGGTGTGATTGTCATGTTCTTCAAGTTATTGTACCTTCAGAACAACAAATTAAAGCATTCTTAAGTGAAAATGGCAGGTAAATATAATTTAATTTATTAAATTATTTTTATACATTGTTGATTTTTTAGCTTTACTCATTACTAAATATTTCAGGAATTTACAAGAACAGTATTATCATCCACCAGCAAAATTATTTCGTTATGAGGTAGAACAATTAGATTCTGGAGATTCTGATGTCAGCCAGCTCATGATAGTAGAAGCATCTCAAGTCAGAAGACAAAAACAACATTATAGCAGAGAACGTAATAAAATATTTCTTCGGCAACTCTGTGAACAAAATGATAGTGGTATATGGATCGTTAAGGTTAATACAGAATATTAAACAATTGGATAAAAACATTTATACTTTATAACATTATTTTTGTAACGTATAATTTTTTTTCATTACAGGAAAGTGTTTTGGAAAAATATGGAATTAGCAAAGTACGTTTTGATACTATATTTGCTGGCACACTTCCAGATTTTACAGTGCGTGTAAAAAAATCTGTCAAGCAGAAACAAGAATCTATAGATAAATTTCTAACATCAAATGTATCAAAACAGAAAACATTTGAAAAAGCGGATCCTTTGAAAAAAGTTAGTGATGGTAAAAAATCGAATGACCCTGGCACAATGAAGAAATATCGAAAACCAAGGTAATAGCTATTCAAGATTTATATTAATGTGCTCTGTCTTGTTTATCTAATATTTTTTAATGTTTTCAAAATATTTTATCAACAGAATGAATGGCAAATTCAAAGAAGAACTTAAAGCGAAAGCTTTGGAGGAAAAAGCAAAACGTAAAGAAGAAAGAGCGTTGAAAAGCGAGCGTAAGAAGGAGAAAAAACAAAAGTTAGCAGCTTTGGCTGCATATGTAAAGCAGTGGAATAAACCGAGAGAAGATCTCGAATGTGAAGATCTTTGTTCCATTCCTGAACCTACTGTTATTAAATGCAACATACCAAACGAAAAGTTTGGAGACTTTGTTATGATATCGGAATTTCTTGAATTTTTCAATGAAGAATTAGAGGTACCAGTATATTTCCCAGGAGGCTTCAATTTCGAATTGTTAGAAAAAACATTAATGACCAAAGAAGCGTCTGGTCCCTGGAGTGATCTGTTACAATTGTTATTATCGAATATATTTAAATATCAAGCTGGAGAAGATAACGAAATTGATGCTCAAGCATCTACTTTACTGGATGATATTAGTCCTTATGAAGGCGCATCATCGATGACAAAAGCTGTAAAACTGGCTACAATGGCTTCTAGGTGGTGTCCAACTTATCAGGGATGCACGCTATCAGAACTTACATTAGATCACGTAACTTTGAGCGAGATTTTGAGACAACATTTATTAAGTTCTGGAGGACGTATAAGCGAAGCGGCTTCTAAGTGGCGATATTCTCAAAAGGGTATGTATGATAAGAATTTTCAATCATTTTTAATTTATTTAATATTTAATGTTCTTCCTTTATATATCACATATTATCTATCGTAGGTGGTTATACAAATTTTGACGAGCCAGCGCTTCTTTTAAGGATAAATGACGGTCACCTTTTGCGATTACTGGGTCACCGAAATATCTGCGAATTTGATGTAGATGATAAAATAAAGATTGTTATGTGTTTGATCAATCAGTTGCTTAGTTTTGCATCAATACGCGATGCAATCGAAGAACGATATGATAAATTGCACCAAGCAAAGAGAGAGTTAAAGTCATTTTTAATTGCTGAACAAAAGAAAGAAAAAGAAGAAAAGGAAAAGATGCGAGAACGTGAGAAAGAAGGAAAACCACTCGAGGAAGAAGAACCAAAGAAAAAGATAACACGTGGCAATTATGAGGAAGAAAGGAAAAAGGAAGAATATGAAAGCAAACTAAAAGAATTGCAGCAAGCATCAAAAGATGACAAGATGATGCTTTATCTGGGCTCAGATAGAGCTCATCGAAGATATTGGAGGTTTATATCTGTACCAGGTACATTTCTAGATTCATGTATTCTTTACAATTTTAAATAGGAAAAATTACAAATTAGATTAGAAGAATTTTTCCTACTGATTTATAATCTATTTTTTGTAGGATTATTTGTAGAAAATGATGAACGCTGGCCTGGAAGTTGTCTTCCCGAAGGCACTCCACACCAACCAGAGTTGCAAGACAAAGAGGCAACATATGCATATCTAAAAAATAAATTTGAGGATGAGTTTAGTGACAAAGAAAACAGTTTCAAAAAATCAAAGAAGTCGCCCAAGAAACTTTTATCCACGGATAAAAACGGGGTGAAATCACCACGGAAAGAAACGGCTCGAAAGGAATTTAAGCAAGATCTCACTAACATAAGAAAGAATTTGCTGTTGTGTACAGGAGATAAAGATTGTCCTGTTCATTGCAAGAGATCGCTCGTCACCTGGAGCTTTTATAGCAACCAGGAAGACATACAAGCACTGATAGATAATTTGAGTACAAGGGGTGTCAGGGAGAGCGAGCTTAGAAATAATCTTTTGCAAGAAATGGATAATTTGCTTCTCGTTATTAATGACTGCCCTAAACATAAATTAAATCCCGAAGTTGTAAGTATATCTTACATAAGTTACTTAGTTTACATAATTTATTTGGTATACCTATCTTATTTTTATGCTATAATTACATGTGATTAAAAGCCGAAAACTAAATAGATTTTCACACATAGTTTGCAGATTCCAATAAAGGACAAATTAATAAGACAACTAAAAAGAATAAATACGAGAACGCGAATTTAAATTTTCCTCCCGACGTAGCGGTTGATGAAGTAATGGAAATGACATTGAGAGATCACATTTTGGACTTTGAAGACAAAATCAATGCAGGTTGTTTGGGTTCCCTTAAGATTACCGATCGCACCGTCTGGAGAAACGCGATTAATCAGAGAAGTTATGACAAACAGTGTGATAAACTGATGTGTGCCGGTAGTGAAATAGACATAGATATACCACCTTCTAATACATTGATAGATAAGATAAAGAACGAATCTAAACACAGTAGACCCGGTACTCCCGATTCCGAGGTCGGAAGTATCAGCATAAAGACTTACAAAGATCCAGGAACGTACTTAGGTTTACCCAGTGAAGATGAGATGGTGCTCGATCAAAGGCAACAGGCGGTTATCAAGCAGCTGGCGTGTGCTATTTTGCAGCTGTCACATGCTATAGAACAGAGATACATGCAGAGACCGCTTGGACCTGATCAGAAGGACAAGAAATGGTCGGGCGAAGAGGCTCGAGAGAGATGGGAACAATCACTGATAGCGTCGACTAATTGGTCTCAGTTGTTCGTTCACTTGAGCACCTTGCACAATAGTGTCGCGTGGCATAGAAGCGCATTGAACGCTCAATGTCGCATATGTCGAAGGCGTACGGATGCTGAGAACATGTTGCTTTGTGACGGATGTAACAGGGGACATCATCTCTACTGCCTAAAACCGAAACTCAGTGTAATTAATATTATAATTATCTAATAAGAGTTTATATTATTTGATGAAATCAATCGATTTCTAATCTTCATTTCATTATTATATTTAGGCTGTACCGGCGGGAGATTGGTTTTGTAGAGCGTGCAAACCGCCGGAGGTGAAACCCAAGGAAAAGGCTCAAAAGCGAAAAAGATTTGAGGATGAAATCGAGGAAGAAGAAGTACTGACCAAAGAGACGCGATACAATCGCGCAAAGCGAGCACTTCAGAGCGATGATGAAGACGATCAAGAAGAAAATCAAGATGATGAAGACAGCGAGGAAGAGATGTAAGTTATCCTTTTAAGTAATGTTAAAATTTTTTAAATTTTACTGACTATTGTTCTTTTCAGAAATGAACAAATAGAAAACTTATGCGCAACATGCAAAAGTGGTGGAAAGCTGATCTCATGTGATACATGTCAAAATCATTATCACTTAGAATGCCTCGAACCACCATTGTCGAGGGCTCCTAGAGGAAGATGGTCTTGCTTTATATGCAAACCTAGAAGAAAGAGGAATACAACAAAAGGTAAAGAAAAAAAACATCGAGTATTTTATCTTGTTTTCTTCTGCTATAACTCTAAATTTTTCTATTTACTGCTTATTAAGTTATAGAGAGATAAACAAGTTGTAAAAATATTATAAGTAAGTTTCTTAGCCTTAATTATGTTGATAGTGAGGGGGCGCGAAAGGGAAAGAGACAAGGAGAGGCTGTGCGCAGCAGCAGCACGCTCTCGCATCCATGGCTTTGCCAAGAGCCTCCTCACTACAGAATCTACAGACTGGGATGGTCTGTATTGTATCCCTTTCTTTTTACTGTGTGTTTAAACATGTGCAGCATCTCCTTCATTCATAACTTCATCCTGTTTCTTTTCTGGAAAGCATTGCACGTTACTTCAAAGAGTAATGAGTCTGTTCATGGTTAACATTTGGGATATATGGATATTTTTTATAATTTTGCATACACACATTTTGAGTTTTAAATGATATATATGAACAATAAGAGGTGTTATAAAAATGTATCACTTTTCATTTTTTAAGACATTTCTCTTTTTTAATAAAACTGAAAAAAGTTATGGACAGATCCTAATATAATATAATACATTCTCATATATGTAAATACTTTATTATTTTCATAGTGGAATTTGCTGTTGCTAACTCATCTATCATAAAAATTTCAGCTATCAATAGAATTTGATTTTTAGTTTAGGTTCATAAATTTTTAACATTGAATTGAAATAACATAAAAGATGGGGTATGCACTAGCTAATACAGGGCATTTTGAATGTACAGATAGCAGCGCATCCGATGACACCGAACCAAGACAAACGCGACGTGCGACGAAAAGAGCCGCCCAAATTGAACACGAGGAGGATAAAAATTCAATCAAAGGATCTATGGCTAGACTGCAAGAATTATTAACTGATATTAGGCATCATAGAGATTCATGGCCGTTTCTATCGCCTGTCACAAAGGATGAAGTTCCAGATTATCATGATATCATTTCTAATCCGATGGACTTTGGGACAATCAAAAGCAAACTTGGTAATGGCGACTATGAGACGTTGGATAAATTCTTTAGCGATTGTCATCTAGTTTTTGAAAACTGCAGATTGTACAATAAGGAACATAGTTCTGTATACAAGTATGTATCAACATTATTATTATCTATTTCATGTAAGTTCGGATGCCAGAGACTACAATGGTAATTAATATGCAGGATTAATTTATGTATTTCATGCTATTAACAATAGCTACATACACATACATATATTTTAATTAACATTATATGATTATTACTAACAAAAGAATGAATTAGCATCTCTACATCAGTTCTATCATTTGTATACTAACTTTGGTTTGATGTATAGGTATATTTTAAAGTATGATTCAAGTTAAATTGATAGTACATCACAATATAAAATATGCACATATTTGTGTTTAGGTATATAATTAAATAAAAAAGAAAAAATCACACACAAAATGCTAGACTATGTAATAAATTAGATAATTCATTATGTATTGTAATTACTTATTCATGACTGTTCAGTGAAAAGAATTGGCATTTCTTATTTCTGTTAAAACTTATGAAACGCGTTAATTCGTCTGTAACTTTTAATGTCTCAGATAAGGCTTCGCTATTGTGTTAATCTTGAAGTAATCTTTGGCCTCCGAACCATTTTGGGAATATACATATGAAGAGCAAGGCTATGTTTTGTTAAAAATAGTTATGTATATAGTGCAGGAACACGATTACGCAAATACCTCGAGAAGCGCTGCAAGGAATTAGGCTTGAACTTTAACGAACTTTTCGAAGAACCCAAGATTAAGAGGGCAAGATTCGATGGCAATGATGTCGAAGAAAATTCCACGTCGAATAGCGAAGACGATGAAGAGGAAGCACAGAAGAGAAGATAGAATAGAAAAGCTATATGCATATATATTATATATACTTTTAGTATAGAGTACATACTCGTGAGATTAAAAAATCTGATACCGCTCAAGAAATTTATATATTTTGAATTAGAATACGTATAATCGATTACGAGCGGTAGATAGATTCCGTATATAGCTCACGACATTTGATAAATTAAACAATTTTTTCACGATAAACAATGTGAAGTTACATTGACAACTTATGGAATAGTACAACTAAATGCTATTTATTTTGCAAAATTAACAATTTACATAAAACGACACATGCAACAGTATATATAAAATGTACGAAAGATTTTTTTTTTTTTTTTAAGTCTTTCTTCGAGGCTTATTATGATACAGATGTATGCAGTATTATTTGCAGAAATGCATACTCATAGTTGCACTACATATAATTTTAGATGCATTGCACATACACAGAATTTTGCAAACACATAGCTGATTAGTTCCATTGGCTTTAATTAATTTTTTTCTAGATGTAGAAACAAATTTTCAATATATTCTCACATTTATTTATTTAGTATTACACATAACACGAGTGCGCGTGCACACATGCACACACAACATACACCCACACACACCTATGCACCAATACATCATATTTTTTGTAGTAATATATTAAGGATTGTTAATTGTATATGATGAATTCATAAGCTCTCAATTTTTCTCGAAATCGTACACAAGATTTAATCATAAAACATAATTTTCAGAAAAATGCATAAATCATAAGCACATTAGCAAATTTATGTTTATAGATCCAGACAATAAAATTCGATACTTTTGTACTGCGTGTTCCAAACTATTAGAAAACTAAAAATTATGTTACATCAATATTACATACAGTAAAAACATGGCATTAAATGTCAATATCGATAATAAAAAGAGACTAATAAGAGCTAAACATGAAACAGAAGTACAGATAAAAAGGTTTTAAAAATTATTACATTAAATATTTAATAATTTAAAAAAATTTTTTAATAATTTTACTATTTAACTCAAGTAATATCTAAAATCAATTAAATTAGCTACAATTAAAATTAGATTTTTATTTGCACTAGTCTCTTTTTATTACTAATATCAACTCGTATTTTTTAATTAAATTTTCTGTTCTAATAGTACTTATTTTTTCCATGTTATTTACCATGTATTACTTTATTTTGTAATGTTTTATACTTTCAGGATAGATTTATGCAAAAACTATGGTACAAAATACTATCAACTGTATTGTACAGTAATTGCAAAAAAAGTTCTTTTTAATCATATATATTTTATACGATGATTTTGGTAATATTAAACCTCGAATAAAATTTTTCAAATAATCTTCTGCCTCTCCTGCAAACTATCACATATATAGAGAAAGATTTATTTTTTAATTATACATTTTTTTCTAATTATACATAGAGACTATAGATTTTTCTCTTGTACATCTCTTATTTTAACACATTTCTAATGATTTTATTTCCACTTTAATGATGTCCAGTGCCTTCAAACATTTCTCTGTGGATTTTATCCCATTTCTGAACATTCTCGGGGGAATATGCTGAAAATAGTGATAAGTTATACATATATTTCACTTGAACAAATATTTTATTTATATAGAAAACATACTTACACATCTTTTGTATTTTGTAAAATATCGGAATTGTTACCCCTATCGCGATTACTGAATATTTAAACAACCAACTATGTTGCATATAATATCTAAATGGAAATTGAGCAATCTTTGCAGAGATAGTATATGGATATTTCATAGGTCGATATGGCGTGCCTTCAGACATGTTGAATGCCTATAACAAATTCTAATTGTAATTGGTTTATATTTATATTTCATAACATATATAGCAATAATGACATTACATGATAGATTTGTGCTAATTATTAACGAAAAATGTCTCAAATATTGGATTCAAATAATCTTAGTGTTAGTTTTATAGTATAGATTACATATAAATGTTACAATCTGTAATAAATTTCAAAAATTTGTTATATATCAAGAAAAAAATACGAAAGTATAAATTCAACATAATACATATATGTAACTATATCCATAATAATATAAGAGTTTGGAAATGAAATATGATTTGTACGAGATGTCACAATTATAACCTCGAAGAAGAATAACGAACTATGACAATTCAATCCCGTTTATCATTTACAATGAAAGAGATATGTAATAAAATGAAATAATCGTTATACATTTAGTATTTCTTTATTTTAATATTTTAAAATTACTCACGATCTCTTGATTTCGATAAGTTCAGTAAAATTATATAATATTAGTAGGTTTTCGAGTCACAAGAGCAAAATTTGTGAACCATAGATAAAATAACTGATATGAGTGGGAACTCGATGTTTTTAAAGCTAGATGAAATAGGATGTTGCGCGAACTCCCAATTGGCTACGCCATGTTATTTCCCTTATTTCGATATCGTATTCATACATCGAATATAAATATATATGCAGGAACCCAACACACGTTTCAAATTATTTTAATAAAAAATAAACATTTAACAAAAATTATTTTAAAAAATTGAGAAATTTCGTGTTTATGACTATTTCTACTTCAATTTCTACTACAAATATATCTTTTTTGCAACGATTCCAATTAAAAGTGAAATCAAAATTAAAAATTATTTTTATATTTTTATGTGTAATTATTAGTTTGATTACCAAATTAGTAGAATATAATTGGGAAGATAATTGAAAAGCAAATTATAAGGATAAACAAAGATAAACTTGGTCATGAACAAAAAATATAAAGTTTGATTGTAACACTGTATAACAAAATAAAACTTAAAGTAATTCCACATATATTAGATTATACATGTATTTGATAGAATGTTTTCAGATTTATTATTCTCTATAACATTCACTTCATCAAAGCGTGCACTACAGCTTTGGCATTCAATGACTTCAAATCGGTGTAAGTTTGGCCAGTTCCAACAAAAACAATAGGCTGGCCAGTAATATATGTCATTGTGATTGCTGCGCCCACCTACAAATAAAATCTATGTGTGAAAAATCATATATGTAAATGTTACATGAAAATTAATACTACATAAAAAAATATATCCTACATATATAAATATATAAATATATACTACATAGAAGAATATATAGATATATAGGAATATATATCTATATACTCTTTAGAATTGATATTTATTTTACAGAAATTATATTATAAAAGAATTTAGAGAAACTTTTAAAGAACACAAAATAAAAGGAATATATGATAAAGATTATATACATAGCTTTATGTAAAAAAAAACATACCTTATCATCGATTGTATCAAACTTTGTCAGCACAATACCATCGATCATATGAGGATTAGCGGACTGACTGTAGTCGGCTAAGGCCTGATTAAATTTCACCAGCTGATCAACAGCTTCATTACCGACGAGAGCTTCTCCAACGAACAATACTAAATCCGGTTCGTTCACCTTTATCAATTTTGCCAGAGCTCGCATCAATGGTTCGTTATCCTGCATTCTGCCAGCGGTGTCAACTAGGACTATATCCATCTTAGAATCTTTCGCAAAGCGAATTGCCTCCATGGCGATGCCCGCAGCGTCCTTTCCGTAACCTTTTTCATAAAGCTGCACCATTGTCTGATTTCTGTGCTTCTCTGGTGGATGCAGGGCGTTCAGATGTCGCATGTGTGTCCTCAGTTGCTCGACTGCTCCAGCTCTGAAGTATAAAACTATTATTATTATTGTAAAATTATTAAAATTATTAGATGTTATAACACTGAGAAAGAGAAATAGATGACCAATGTTAATGCCTGCAGTTGAAATGATTAGTACACTGTTTCAATCTTGAATAACTAATTTACCTGAACGTATCACATGCAGCAATTAACACGCGGAAATTGTTTTCAATCAGCCAGAAGCAGATCTTTGCTAGATTCGTCGACTTGCCGACCCCGTTAACACCGCAAAAAGTCATGACATAAGGTCTATTATTCTTCTTCGCTTCCAAAGCGTCTCGTAGAATATCAATTCTTCTTTTGGGTGATAGTATCTGTACTAAGGCATCCGTCAAAGTGGCCTTTATAGTGTTTGCTACACTATCAAAGGTACCGAGTACCTTTCCTTCTAGTTTTGCACCAACGGAATCGCATAATTTCTGAGAAATGTCTGCAGCGACATTCTTGGTGATTAGATGATCCTTTAATTTTTCCAAAACTGGTAACATATCCTCCTGTTTTAAAGATTTGCTACCGACCAGACTCTTGAACATGGAGAACATGCTCGAGTTTTTCTTCTGCATTTGCAAATTGGAATGTTCTATTTCCTCCTCATCAGAATTATCCTCGGATTCGCTGTTTACTTCGAGATCGCGTATACCACCCTTCATCTGTCCAACTAGCTATAAAAAAACGAAAACATAAATAACAAATAAAACAAATTTCCATTTTCTGGCTAAGAATTAGTTACATGTATAATTCTTTCTTCACATTCGCTTTTCATAGTTAAATTCAAATAATGAAGCTAAATATACACGATTTTTTGTATTAATTTTAATTTTCAAAAAATAAATACGTAAAGACAGCCCGATTATCAGCCAGAGATATTAGATATCGAAGAAATTTGTAAGCTCACACTAATAATATAAGCCAAAGAATAAACTTTTCATGACTAAATATTAAATAAATGTAAAAAAAAAAAAATATATATTACAGCTGTATCAGCTGCCACATAATCGCCACTCTCTACGGGCTTGTCTTTCGTTCGTTCCAGCGTAGCGAGATCCTTGGATGTTCCACCTAATTCCCAAATACGCGGTTTCTTGCCAGCTTTCTCAGGTTTAGGACTCTTCCTGATACAATATTTATTGTGATAGATTACATTTTGTCATTAAAACAAACTCTCTTTCTCTTATTTGATTAATTAAAGATTTTTAAATAAATTAAGAAAAAAACATGCACTTACTGCTTGTCAGCTTTCTTCTTTTGACCTGCCTTTTTCTGGGCGAGTTTCAAACGATTGGCAAGGAGGACTTCTTCATCAAGTTCTCCATTATGCTCTGTTTGCTGTTTCAGCAATTCTTGCTTTGGAGGTTCTTGAATTTTTGCTACAGTATAGAACACTCAATTTAATTTAAAATGTTAAATAAAAACAATTTTAACACACATTTTTATAAAAACAAAAATTACATTTGTATTATGTGCATGCAAAGAGAGTATTAGTTAGAAAATATGTGCAAAATGATTTGTTATTAATGTTATAATTAAGAGAGAATAAGCTTACACACACACAAAAAAAAAAGAATTCTCAATTATTTAAATTTTTTTAATGAATATAAATTATGCCATGTATCTCAAGAGCAATAGCAGATATTAACAATTCAATATCTTAATAAAAGTAATAATAATAAAGATAGAGAAAAATGTGATTAAAATTACTGACCAAATAAAATATCGAAGTCATTTAATCTTTATGTTTGCATTATGATAGTAATTACTTAAATGAATTTATTGTGATTAAAGTATTATAATAATAATGTAAGTATACATTTTTTCATTACACATATTCCATGCAACAGCATACTATGCAAAGATTTAGTAAATGCCACTTACTATTAAAATCCCCATTACAGTTAATTGCCTTCTTTTTTTTACCTAAAAGTGAAAAAGAAAATCCTCGTTTCTTGTTAATGTTATATAGATTAGAAAGAAATGTGTTAAATCAAAATATAACTTATAATTTTATAGATTAAATCTTATACATAAAATAATTCTTATTACTATTTTATCTCGCGAAAATAAAATCAGAGTGATATTTCTATACATTTATTATTCTATACTTTTTTCTTTGTAAAAATATTATTGTATACATTTTTTTGTGAAACGTTTGAACTTTATTATAGAGTAGTAAATTTGAATAACAGCAAATAAATTTTACCCTCATATTACACTTTTTTGTTTAAGATTATTTAAATTTTATATTCGTGTTTTTTCTAAAAGTAGATAAAGCTATTTACAACTGTTATTGCCTTCAGTTTTTCATAAATTGTTACACTATCAAAGAATTATAACTGTACCTGGTTTCTTATCATCTTTATCCTCTTTTTTCTCAATCATACTTGCGACAGTCTTTTTAGACTTCTGACTTTCGTCAAAGCTGCGCATTTGCTTCGGTATTTTAGCCTGTGTACGCGACCATTGCTCAGCCCGTTCAAGCACTAGACGGTAGGCATTTTCAAATTCAAAATTGGTGAACCAGCTCGAGCTTTCAAGCTCATTCTTAAAGCGATCCCTGAACTCTAGATGAATATCGTTCAAGAATTTGTCCACATAAGATAATTGCAATATCTTCTGATATGCCACTACAAATACCAGCTCAAATTCATTGTCAAGCTTGTACTGCAACCGCAAGGAGTCATGCTCAAAGCTGTGATTGCCTGTACGTTCCTGAAAATTTTTGAAAAAAAATTATTTCTTTAGAAATGTTAAAAGTAATAGCTTTAAAATACAAAAAATTTATATAATATTTAACTTTGTAATTTGAGTTATATACTATTGCATGTGCGATAATAGTTAAAAGATTAGTTAAAAGATATATATATATATAGTAGCATCTTTTAACTATTATCGCACATGCAATAGTATATAACTCAAATTACAAAGTTAAATATATAAATTTTTTAATAAATAAAATTTTTGATAGTAATTTCTTAATCAGAGTAGAATTAATAACAATTTCATTGAATTTATTAATAATAATATATATATATATATATATATATATATATTTAATTCTACTCTGATTAAGAAATTACTATCAAAAATTTTATTTATTAAAAAAAAATACAAAAATATTTATTTTACATAACATGTATCTTTTTAATTTAACTTTTATTTTGTTAGTACAAATGATGAATCTCTCACAAAATGATTAGTTTTAACAATCCCAACCATATGGTACCATATGGTTTAATCTATTTTGTATATTTATCTTATGTACATTTAAATACACTTGCAGTTCTAATAAATATTTACATGTTGTAAAAAAATTGTAGTGTCTTACAAACATATATGTATATATATATAACTTTCTTGCAAAAGTTCTATTTATAAAAAAAATTGAAGACTGAAGAATGAAAGGTAGAATTCAAAAATGTCTGCGAAGATGATAAGATTTGGAAAATAATTACGATCGTTCGAACAATAAAATTAAAATATTCAGAATAAAATTATTTGAAAGTAAGTTTGAAGAAACTGAAGGAATGCGACAATTCGGCGATTCGGGGTCAAAGGTCGACAGACGTCGAGAAATGCATATATATTTTTAAAACTTGCCTGCAATATAACACCTCTGATCAGAGCATTGATACTGGGTGCGAAAATCTGAGACGTGCTCTGGAAGCACCAGAGCACGATGCCGCCTTTGCTGAATATCGTGAAAAGATCGAGCATGATTTTACAAGAACTTTAATGAGGAAAAAAAAACAAGACCGCGCTCTCCCTCGAACACAATCAACACCACTCTAACCTATCGAACACAGTTCGCTCGCATACGTCAAATCCAGACCACAACTGTCAAACGTCACGTCATCGAATGTTCCTAGACACGAAAAATACGCTCGCGCGATCCACCAATCAGGACTCGTCTACGGCCTGGCAGAAGCAATATGGCTGCCAGTCACAGCCAATCAAAACACTTCGGCGGCCGTTGGCAGCACTGCTCCGAGTTTAATCAAATTACTGCGAATCAATTCAAGCCGAACCAGTCGACAGTCGATGTATCGGAGCCATTAAAAACGGTCGTGATAAGTTCAATCGGTGCGCGATTTTTTGCGTAACGTAGAATGTAGGCGTCCATGTCTGTGATCATCGACGAGGCCTGCCGGATCTGCCACTCAAGTTGTGAGTAGCGTAAAATGGCATTTATTAATTCCTTTGATAAGGTTTGTGGGTTTCTTTCCCCGAGTCGATGCAGTGTCGATAAACATATATGGCGGCGCAATGTTTCTCGCGTATTCTCACACATGCTCGTGAATTACAGAACTACGCCGTCTTCTTTTGATTGAGAACCGAAATTGATTGCGTAATTTCGGTTAAATTTTCGATGATATACACGAGAATGAAGGCCGATCGTGTTTCACACGATTAAATTAATATGCGATTCTCAAAGTCCTGCTTTTTAGCTTCTCTCGGAGGCATATTTCCTTTTGAAGATATTGAAAATTATATTGAAGGCTCTCTTGTCAATACAATGACACGAAGAAAATTTAAATCAAAATTGTTCTTACAATTTTTCTTATAATTTTAAAAATCTTGCTTTAATGCTAGAATTATGAAACAGATGATTTTTATATCTGAAAAATCGTTTTTTATATTTTTGAGACATCATACATAAACAATTATTTAAGATAGAAACAGTATATTGTTTCTCATTTGTTGATTTCTTTAATTACTCAAGTCGCACCTCACAGCAGTACTGTTAAAAATCTTACTGTGATTATATATATGTATTTAAGAGTTATGTGTGATATTCTGCATTTCTAATGCTGTTATATGTTGCAAAAATATTTGCGTGATAGTTTTGCAACACATTAAACAAAATGTATTGAATAATCTTACATGATCTGTTGTACCACTTGTTGGCCATTTTATTAAGTATTTATTATATTATTAAATATGCCTGAAAAAGAATACTCAATTGCATTTAAAATTTAATAAGATTATATAACGTAATAATATATCTGATTATGTGCATAATTGTATAATTGTAATAATTATATATATATATATATATAAAATTAATATAATCTTCATTATATTTGCATATTTTGCAAGAAATTTTATGAAATCTAATTTTATATATTATATTATGTATGATTGGCATTAAAAAATGAATGAGATGCTTTAATTATAATGACTGTCGACACATATTTTCTGATCCAATGGAAAATGTGTTTTTTAAGAACAAAAGTATTGTTAGAAAGTTCTAAAAAACAGATTCTTTTATTGGATACTGAATGTGTTAAAAAATCAGAAAAAAGTGTCTTAATCTTTTTGGAATCAATCGTACATTATATAAACAAACCTGACAGATTTCTATATAAATTTTGCTACTGTATTTCATTAAAATCATACTAATGAAAGTGTTATTTAAATAGAGGTCTTTAAAAGAATTTTTTCAGGTTATAAACATTTGAAATTTAAATTAAGCTTTATTAGAAATTACACAATATCTGAATAAATCTTCGCAAATATTATTGTTTAAATACTGTAGTAAAATATAGTTAGGTATCAAATAATAATAGTAATGCTTTCAAAATTAAGTATGTACTATTTATATTGTTGTTTGGTACCTATTTTTTTATATTTAACTATTGTATTTAAGCATTGTCAAATAATATATTTTATTCAGTTTATCCAGATGTATCTTATGGATAATATAATCTGCAATTCAGAAAGAATGACTTGTGTAACATTTGCTTATTATAATACATGGTAGAATAGAATACATTTTAAATAAAGTTTTTGTTTAGTTATTTTAGGAATGCACTTTGTATATGTAACATTTTATGAACATTTACTATAATTTGAGAGCAATAATGAATTTAATTCATTATCATATATATTACTATATTATTTTGACAGAATAATTTATAATATATAAATCTATTTGAGTCTATCTATTCGAGTATCTCCCTATTTGAGTATCTCTAATAATTAGAGATTATTATTCACATACGAGATGTGTGAACCACTATTCGTCATTACAATAAATAAATATTTATTTCTGTGTCATATAAATATATGGCATAATGATAATACAATTTCAAGTTCTTATCATGCTTTTTGAAACTGTTACTTGTCAACATTTTGCATGGAAAATTACCAAGCGCATTATAAAATGCAAAAATTGTGTTAACATGTGATGTTTAACTTGCTGCATCAGTCTGCAGATTTAAATTGCCAACGAATTTTTTTTACTCTGCGCTACTTTAATGCATGATCTTTTTGATACATTGAATAAATTGGACTACAGTTTTTTGATTTTATTTGTCAGATTATACTTCTGACATAAAATCAACAAAAACATGCGAATTTTAATTAAAGATATAGGGATTGATAATATTTATAGATATTTTTTTCATGTTTACCTATTTTTACATATCGATTTATAAAATGATATTATTATCATGAGATTTGCACAAGTTTTATTACCATCTGCAATTTTTCAACTGCATTAGTTATGATGCAGTTGTATGTCTCATACATTACTATAATACTACATTATTATAATACTACATTACTATAATACACATATATTAAATATATTTTATGTACATATGTATATAGTTTTACAAATTACATACAAGTTTTACATATGTACATACAAGTTTTATATTTTATAATGAATAATTGTAAACAGTTCTACGAAATAATCCGCTTATTTTATTTTTATAGAAATACTGCAAATTTGTCGGCGTTGATACACCGTCTTATCTTTTGACATAATAATTAATAAATAATATTGTGATACAATTTATATATATATATATATTATATATATATATATATATATACAATTTATCTTTACTATATTTAGCTATTGCCTTTAAATATGTAAGAAATAAATTAAAGAAAAATCATAAAATATATGTTTGTAGCTACAATGAATAAAATATATAAATTTTTTTAAACACCAAATAGCCAAAATCCTAGAACGGACAACCTTTAGAGCAAACTAGCAAGTTGCTTGCTAGTCTGACAGGATTCAAAAATGCAAAATTGGAATCAATGGCAGCTGTCAGCTGGTGCTGTTACAACTCCAGTGCCGCAGCCACCAGTTGGCTATGCTGCAGCAGCTGGCGCAGACCCTATAACTTTGATGCAAAATTGTATGCAATATTATAATCAACCAGTAAGTATAATTTTAAAAGATATTATTCTTATATATGTATATATAATTAATTAATAAGTTATATCAAGATTGTGTTTCATGTGTAATGCATGTAGTTATTTAAAAAAATTAATAATACATAAAATTTAACACATTATTATATATATATATATTCATCTGTAAGAATAAATTAAAAGTGAATTGAATACATTCTATTTTTTTCAGTTTTTTGTATTACATTGACAAAATATTTATTGTCTCTATTAAATTTTATTTTAAAATTACTAACTTAAATAGTTTGATACTATGAAAAGAATGGATTGAAAAAGTTCTTAGATAAATAAAGTGTGTATTAAAATTAGTGATGACATTTTTGATTAATAAAAAAATATGAGAGATTATGTTCTCTCTCTTTTAATTTAGTTTTTTTTATTTAATGATTACGATAAATTTTTCGCCCTAATCTAATAAGTGTTATATTAATTGTCAATGAATAATCATTATTTTAACATTAGTACAATATATTGCATAATCTTTATCAGGCACCAAGTGGATATACACCAGAGCAATGGGCAACTGCTCAACAACAAGGCTGGGCTCAATGGCAGCAATGGCAACAACAATATCAACAATGGCAAGCACAATATGGCGACAAGGTATAATATAAAAGAGAATTTTCTTATACGAAGAATATATTTAATAAATAATTACATATATATAATCATAAATATATAAATGTAGATTTTGAGAGAGAAATTTAATATTATTTATCATTGACGCATTTGCAAAATTTATAGTTTTAAAACAATTGATTATTTTATTACAGAAACGAGTAATACGTACATTACAAAATATAGACAAGAAATATTTTTTATTTTTTCTTTAATATTCTCCATTTTCTTTATGATAATTTTATATAAAAATAATTTTGCATTACTTTATTTTATTATATTTTACACTAATACAAACGAAATATGTTTGAAATTAATATTTTGTAGCAATTCTTTTTTACATAAAGTTGTTTTCTTTTAAAACAGATTGAAAGATGTACAAAGAATTTTCTTAAGTAATTAAAGATTCAAAAATTTAGAAAGTTATATGAAATTAATAAAAATAATTTATATCTATTTTTTTAGAGCTATTTTTACGTGAGAGAAAGAAATGTTACAAAAGTGTTTTAGTTATTAGACATTAATGTATTAGCAAATAAAAATATATTCTGATAAAAAGACTATAATGTGATACAATATTTCTTTTCTGTTATGTGAAATTATTCTGTTTAAAAGAGTTATTATACATCTTTCTAAAGCTGAGTTTTTCTTATTATTTTAGTATTATAAAAACTGCAAAAATTTCATTTAATTCTACATATATTAAATTGTTTTATTTATCATACTAGTACAAAAAGAATAATATGTTTTAATGAAAATAGTTTGTAACAAAACAAATTTTCCTTTTCTTTTTATAAAATTATCTAAAATAACAGATGTTTTTTCAGACACATTCTATATCTATCTAATTTTTTTATTGTCAGCTAATTTGTATTGTAAAAATTTCATCAATTTATATGTTCAAAATGACTCATATCTATAATGACATTATATATGCTTCAACTCATTAATTTCTATCGACAAAAATTTATTTTCAGTACCAGGAGACGATGAAGCATTTATCTGCGCAGAATATGAGTTTGTCAGGCCAAATGCAACTGCCTCCAACTATACAGCCACCGCCTCTCCCCAAAGAGGATGTGCGACCTCCTTTACCCTCCGCTTTACCTACCACAAATACATATCAATTTGCAAACATGCCACCTCCACATCAAAATAATCTTCCGTTATTCCCCATAAAAGAATCTGCCAATAAAACAATATCACAAGTGAATGTGACAAACTATCCTACGAATCCACCGTTACCTACGAGCCAGCCACCCTTACCACCGGAAACTGGCGAGAGTAAGGAGAGTATCTCGGTGGAAAAATGTGGTAGTAATGTAATTAGTGAATCCAATAGTGCTAAAAAATTAAAGCTCGAAGATGACGAATTGACTGAGGTTGAGAGAACATTTGATGAACAGTTTCAACAGTGGGAAGAGCAGTTTAACAAGTGGAAGCAGCAGAATGCCAATCATCCGGACAAGGTAAGTGATACTACAATTTATATACTCGACATCTTAAGATGCATAAAGTTTACTAAAACTAAATGAGTGTTAAAGAATTGTTATTTTATTAAGAGATACATTTTTGATATTTGATTTTTATGTTAAAAATGTTGAAATATGCTTAAACTGTACTTTCGCTTAATATCCTAGGATTAAATGCACGAGCTGTGTGCATCTTAATAACAGATTTACAATTTTTATGAAAATTAAATTGACATTCTCAATTTTTCAGATTCAATACAAGCAATACGAAGCAAAGTGGACATCGTGGCGTGAAAAATTGATTGAACGGCGCGAGCAAATGCGTAAAAACGTGAACAACAGAACAAATCGCAGCGAAAACGGAAGCCGAAAAGAATAAGAATATATCTGGCGACGATAAAATATTGAATATCTTATCAAACACCAAAAATCAACGATTGATTAATAATGTATTGGATATCGGACAAACGCTGCTGGTTTGACAGTAAAGCAAAGTACTACGGCACCTTTACCGCCCCCGCCGCCGCCGCCTCCACCATTACCGGAAACTACAAATTCTAACGATCAACCTACAACTCAAGGAACGCAATCAATTTCGTCTCAAATAAACATGATCAGCAGATCTAATGTGCTATCATGGTCTAATCCGCAACAATGGGGAAATCAGCAATATAATCCTAGAATAGAAGCAGGATACGGAACACCTACAATGTCCTCAGCGTCGGATGTTGGTCTACCTCAAATGATCTCACCAAATTTTACACAGCCACCACCAAATCTGTCAAACAATCTCATGCCAAATTTTTCGCAACCTCCACCAAATTTCTCTAATAATGATCGACCGCAATTGCAAAATGCGAGAGTGCTAGGTCCAGCAAATAAAGATTGTCCTCCATTTACTTCGACTGATCCTTCGAACATGGACATGCGTTTTATTCATCCAAACAATCGATCGTCTCATAGTTTTGACGGACAGCTCAACTTTCGAAGAAGTGATCAGGAACGTTTCGGACGAGAAGCTAATATCAATTCAAATATAAATGAGCAAGATCAGTTTAAACCTACTGATAGTTTTGATAGAATCGAAGCGCAACGCTTTAGAAGAAGCGATACAAATTACACTGACTTCGGGAATAATCAATTGAATTCACAGAATAATTTCAATATAAATAACGAGCGATTTGGAATAGGAAATGATCGTTTTAATAGAGAAAATAATCGATTTGGACTGATGGGAAGTGATAGGTTCTTATCGGGAGGTGATCGATTCGGATCAAATAATGATCGACTTGGTCTAGGATCAGATCGATTCAGTAACGAGTGGCTTGGACCGGATGGCGATCGATTTAAAACTGGTTTTGGGATAGATAAAGATCGTCGTGGGCCTGCAAACGATCAATTTGGTCCAGATAATGAACGATTTCCACCAGATAGATTTGCTTCAAGTGCTGAACGATTTGGACCTGGGACTGATAATTTTTCCTCTGATCGCTTTGGACCCAACAGCGATCATTTTCGCTCAAACGATCGATCAGATCGATTCAACAAAAGTAATGTGGATTATTTTGATTCAAAGGATGTTACTGATCATAGACGAGATAGTTTCGGTACTAATCTTCGTGGTTTTAATAGAAATCCTTCATTTAGTCCACCGAACGAGTTATCACCGGAACTGAAGAAACTCATGGAAAAGCGGAAAGCCGCCGGGGACGTATTCAGACCTAGTTTCACTGATTCCGACAAGTCTAGTAGTGTTGGTTCTCTCAGTGAAATTTTCAAGAAAATAGCTGGCGAGTCACCTTTTAAAAGTTCCTTTGATCTTCAAAAGAATTTACCAAATCGTAGTGGATCAATGAACTTTTCCAACAGTGGACCAGTGAGCTCCAATTTTCAATTACATTCCGATTCAGGACAGATTTCCACTTCATTGTATGGTCCACGAGGTCACTCTTTTAAGAATGATGATGAATCTTCTTTTAGAGGATCTTCAGATAACTTAGTCAAACATCCTGTAGATTATAACGAACGATTAGGAAAGGATATAGATGTTAGATCTAATCAATCCCAACCAATCAATATTCACTCTCAAGTTTCTGCTAAACATCTCGAGAATATTGAAACTACTGATTCTGATACTTTATTAAAAACTGATAACATTGCAGATTCAAAGACTGTAGAAGCTGTACCAGCGAACGAGGCTGATAGTGCTGAGCAGAAAAATCTTGTATCTGAAGATAGCTCAAACAAGAATGATGCAGAAGAGAGCAAGTTTCTCAATAGTGATACTATTTTGCAGCAAGATAAGGAGCATGATAATGATCAAATACAAAGTAGTGCTGAAAAAATAGAAGAGTCTAATAACAGTAACGATACCAAAAAGTCTGAAAGTTTACCATTTATGGGTGAAAACGATCCACGACCGACAGATTTAAATATTGAACCACCGCCAGAATTGCCCAATTTGTGCCTTATTTCTACAAACTCCAATCAGAACGCGTCGCTGAATCCAAACGAAGATTTTAATAAAAAGGAACCAGCTGGCAAATTTGATGCGCGCTTGGATCATAACTTTGGATTTAGAGGAATGGAATTTACATCTAGCACACCGTTTGAACGGGGACCACCGATGTTTGGTCCTAAAGGTTCTCACACATTTCCAATGGGTCCTGGTCCGAGTACGTTCCAGCCGCAAGGTCCTGCAGACACACAGTTGGCTCCGCGTGGTTCCCATGACGGTCCTTTCGGGCCTAATGCATCTAGTGAAAGTCGAGGCAGTCCTGGGAGATTCAACAATGAGCAGTATAGCGAGCGAGATCGTAACGACGAATCATCTGAAGTGTTCAACAGCGGTCAATTCGGCTCACGAGATACCATGAACGAGCAATTTGGTTCGCGAGCTCTGGGAAATGGAAAATTTGGTCCAGGCAGACCTATCGATCTGCCAGAGGCTCGATTGATTTGCCGTTTGCTGCGCGTAATCCTAGCCAATTTGGTCCTAGAGGTAACGAAATGCAATTTAGACCTAGAGGCGCTAATGATCGCTTAGATTCTAGACCAATTTTCGAAGGACCATTTGGTCCGCGAGGATTTAACGATGGATCATGCGGTTCTAGAGAACCCAGTGATAGTTTTTTCAATACTCGACGTCTCGCTGATCCGCAACTCGGCTCTGTTGGATCCGTCCTAAACAGATTCAGTAAGAATGAATGGGACACCGTCGATAAAGACCTCTCTTCGATAATAGC